TTGCAGCCCAGTTCAGCCTTGTGTAGGTCTACAATCTTGTCCCTGACATCTTTGGACTTGGTCTTTGCCATGGTGGAGAGTTTTGAATCTGATTGTTTGATTGCTCCTGTGGACAGGTGTCTTTTATACAGGTAAGAAAATGAGATTAGCAGCACTCCCTTTAAGGGACTGCTTCTAATCTCAGCTTGTTACCTGTATAAAAGACACCTGGTAGCCAGAAATCCTGCTGAATGATAGGGGATCAAATACTTATTTCCCTCATGAACATGCAAATCAGTGCATAATTTGTTAGACATGCATTTCTTTTGATTTTTTTGTTGCTATTCTATCTCTCAGTGTTACAATACACCTACTATTCGATTTTTTGACTGATAATTTCTTTGTGAGTGGGCAAACATTCAAAATCAGCAGGGGATAAACACATTTAAAGTCCCATACTTCTTACTTTTTGTGTTTACCTTTTTTGGATGTGGTGCCGAGTCTGTCACATACATCCAATGCTGAGTTACAAGCTAACTGGTTGCCATGAACAGCTGCTACAGATTCTGGCTGCTCCAGTCTTAATAAATTACCCACAATTTTATTTTGAGGGTGTGCTGAAGGCACCTAAAGACCAACAATGTCAGGATTTATTTCCTCTTACTTCACTCCTACTAAGCAAGTAGCAGTGATCAGCCTTCACTGCTCCTCCTCAGGGAGACAGGTTTGATATATGAAAGAAAAGTCCTACTGCTTTACCAAGATGGCTGTGGTCCAAAGCAAAATACTGTGTAGAATGAGGCATGGTAAGTCTGTCCTGGGAAAAAAAAAAAATCAGTAGGCAAGTAGCCTAGGTTCTGGTAATTATTCCTTAGTCCTGCGCTTTTACAGTCATGAAAATATTGATAATATTACACTTATATTACTATATATTTAGGTCTTGCTGATTGTAAAAGCAGTTTTTTGTGCTCAGAAACAGAGCTTTCAGTGCAGCGATGTGATCATTTTAATCTATAACAAAGGAAACCATGTTACAATATAAAATCACAGGACTTTATAGTTATGTCACTGCTATAAGCACCATTATTTTTGAAGAATGGTTTTCATGGGCTTAAACTAAAACCCAGCACAATGTAATAAAACAGGTGTTAAATAATGTTCTACCTTGTCTTTGTCTTCAACAAACATCTGCTACAATATCATCAGGGTCTAATATCCCTCCATCTTTGTATTCTAGATGATGGATCTTCACCCAATATCCTGGTTCCTTAAAAAAAGAAAAAAAAAATGAAAACCTGATCATACACAAGGTTATACTAAGGCTGAAAGATTAAACAAAAGGCTTTGATTCTAACAAATATGCTTGTTTTACCATAACACATGCAGTTAATTTGTCTGTTAAACCATTTGCATTAATATGAAAATACCTTGAAGGATACAGACATCCAAACTGTTTATTTATTACTGTGTCTTGCATTTTTTAACTTTCATTTATTTATACATACTACTTCTGTAGTGAGTTTTACATGTTTAACCGTATTGGGGGAAAAAAGGTGGGCTGTTACTAATATATACTGTACACTACCTGTAAAATATGTATACACACACATTATATATACACATACATATATATATATATACACACACACACACACACACACATATTCACTGTATACTGTATATCCCAAGCAATTTTTTAATCCTGTTGAAAATAAACTTTTTTAGGGTGCTTTAATACAGCACATTAGATGACCTCAAATAATTAAATATAATATACAGTATGAATACAGAATGTCAGAAGAATATGTTAATAGATACTCTGATTATCTTGATGACTAAATACTAATAACTACTTTTACTCCCATTAATGTTGCTCTGTGTATCTGTAAATTATTTATACTAGAGTATCTAGAAGAAAGTGATTCTAGTAAGAGAAACCATTGCCTTAAAATCGCTTTTGGCATGTATCCCTGGAATGCCAGGCCAAAGTGCAGCTTCATGACTCATGCACCGTTACAAACTCAAACAGCACCCTTTTTGTAATGGCACTCAAAATGCAATGTGTGTGGATCGCACCTATGTGAACCACCTCAATATGAACACATAATATCTAGCCTGTCATGTGAACATGTGCATTTGAAAGTGCACGCAGAATCGCATGTGTGTGAACCAGGGCAGCTCTATTCATAGCTGGGCATTTTGGGATCACAGCAGAATCACTGCAATTCTGCTCATGATCGCAAAACGCAGGTTCAGGTGCCATTATTTTCAAGGACACCTTAACCGTGGTGCGGTTTTGTTGAGAGGAGAATCGCATTATGTGCAACTTGTCACCCAAAAGTAGCTCCTGCTCTTTTTTGGGCAACAAGCTTCATGTGATGCAATTTGCCACACAGTAAATTGCACGACAATCTCTGCAAAACCACACTACATTTTAAGAGCAATTAAAAATAACGACACCTGAGTTTTGAATCAGTAGTGAGTTTTGAGAGTGGGCACAATCACATAGATTCTTCCACAATCCCAAAATGGCCAGGTGTGAACGGGGCCTTACATAGCGGACACCAGAGCTTGATTTGGCTGCTCAGCAAGCGCTAGTACTGAGCATCCAAGTGTTTCCATGTTCGAGGGTAACCTTTTTTTTTGGGGGTTCTGGTGCCTTGATTATTTGTTCAGAAGATGAGCTTCCACTAAGCGATTAAAAGAGCCTGACACTCCCTTTTCCTGATTAGCATCCAATCAGTGCTTGTCACACTGCAAGGTCTTTCCCTCCCTGCTCCGGTTGCGGTGCTGGAGACAGGCAGGGAGGTTAGTAGGAGACAAACAGTGCAATGTTAAAAACATCAACAGTTTAAGTTGCCATAAAGCCCCTTTTGTTTTTAAAAGCCCCAGACATTCCTAAAAGCACCTCTGCCTAATGAAAAACATCAACCCTTATTTTTTTTTTTTTTTTTTTTTTATCAAGACAAGTAGATAGTCAAGAGGGATAAGTAGTTTGGGACCCCTATTCAGTCCCTGGACAAGTAGTTTTTAAAAAAATAATTGCACACACCTACAACACAGTGCTGCCAGAGGATGTCCTCTGAGTTGAATGACGTCCTGTGTTATTTAACCCATCTGACTGGGAAAAATACTGTGAAATGTAGGGTTTTCCCACAATGCCCTTCATGCACAGTATCGATGCAGAGAGCGGCACAGATATCACCAAGATAAGAGGATACCACCAGTCCTCCTGTATGGGGCCCAGGCCAGCAGAGGGGCCCAGGAAGCTGGGGTAAATCGGATGTGCTTTGGGAGGGAGATTGGCACGGTGAGAGTACAATTACTGGAACCGATCCCTTGTATGGTTCTCTCTGCAGCAACTGAAGACTGGCTTCTCCTCCTCTCTCTCCCGCTGGTGTTCAGCTGCTACAAAGAGAACCATACAGGGGATTGATTCCAGTAATTGCCCCATGCCCCCTGCCGCACCCATCACCCTCCCTGTGCATTGTACATTTTCCCCTGATGACCAGGCCCCCCTGTGTGCCCACACCTTCCCAGTACTACCAGCTACCCTCCTCTTAATCCCACCAGCAGCTGCAAACACAATAGGATCCTTCAGGATGAAAAGTAGGGGAAGGGTCCAGTAAATATGTCACAAGTCACAGGGGATTGATTCCAGTAATTGCCCCACACCCATCATCCTCCCTGTGCCATGTCCCTCTGTGTGCCCCCATCCACCATCCAGAAGAAATCCCACCATATAATGTGTAACGTACAGGGCTCACTGTACTATCACTATTGATTGTGATTAAAATATGTTTACATTAACATTTATATATGCAACTGAAGGCAGAATAAAATGTAGGGTAGCAAAGTGAAACATCATATATAAATCACTAAAACATTTCCCCATGGGACTTTAAATGAAGCATGATATATGAATAATAAATATCAGTTTATTGAGTAGAAATTAACCACATGCATATAGGAATTGTTTAAAATATCAATTTAGTTAATTACAAACATCAGTAAAAAAAAATATGCAACAAGCTGTTATAATTTATCTATAAAATTTGTCACAACCAAGTTGTTTGAAATTAGCAAAGATACATCCTATAATTCAATGCGTTTCTTCAGGAGTGGATGTCAATATGTAACCCACAGTAAAAGCTAAAAAAAAACAAATAAATAAATGGTTTAGAAGCACTCCCTTAGTATAAGGAATAAAAATAATATATATACTAGTGTCCTACAGTGGCTTGAAAAAGAACTAAGGCACCCAACGGGAAAAATCCATGGGGAAGTACCATAAAAAAAGTACATGGATGTATTGAGAGGGTGTAAAATTCCAGGAAACGACCAACAATCCTGTGAAAAGAAAAATAATAGAGAAACAAAGTTATGGATATATACATACACTGTATTGCCACAAGTATTGGGTCGTATGCCTTTACATACACATGAACTTTAGTGGCATCCCAGTCTTAGTCCGAAGGGTTCAATATTGAGTTGGACCACCCTTTGCAGTTATAACAGCTTCAACTCTGCTGGGAAAGCTGTCCACAAGGTTTAGAAGTGTGTCTATGGGAATGTTTGACCATTCTTCCAGAAGCACATTTGTGAGGTCAGGCACTGATATCGGATGAGAAGGCCTGGCTTGCATTCTCCGCTCTAATTCATTCCAAAGGTATTCTGTCGGGTTGAGGTGCAGGCCAGTCAAGTTCCTCCACCCAAACTCACTCATACATGTCTTAATGGACCTTGCTTTGTGCACTGGTACGCAGTCATGGGGCCATCCCCAAACTGTTCCCACAAAGTTGGGAGCATAAAATTGTCTTGGTATGCTGATGCCTTAAGAGTTTCCCTTCACTGGAACAAAGGGGCCAAGCCCAACCTCTGAAAAACAACCCCACACCATAATCCCCCCTACACCAAACTTTACACTTGGCACAATGCAGTCAGGCAAATACTGTTCTCCTGGCAACCGCCAAACCCAGACACATCCGTCAGACTGACAGACAGAAGCATGATTCGTCACTCCAGAGAACATGTCTCCACTACTCTAGAGTCCAGTGGTGGCATGCTTTACACCACTGTACCTGGTGATGTAAGGCTTGGATGCAGATGCTCGACCATGGAAACCCATTTCATGAAGCTCTCTATGCACTACGGTTGTGCTAATATGAAGGCCACATGAAGTTTGGAGGTCTTTAGTTATTGACTTTGCAGAAGGTTGGCGACTTATGCACACTGTGCGCTTCAGCATGTGCTGAGCCTGCTCTCTCATTTTATGCGGCCTACCACTTCGTGGCTGAGTTGCTGTTGTTCCCAGTTGCATTCACTTTGTTATAATACCATTAAATGTTGACCATGGAATATTTAGTAGCAAGGAAATTTCATGGATGGACTTATTGCACAGGTGGCAACCTATCACTCCTGAACTCCTGAGAGTGACTCATTCTTTCACTAATGTTTGCAGAAGCAGTCTGCATGCCTAGGTGCTTGATTTATACACCTATGGCCAGGAGGTGATGGGAACACCTGAATCCAATTATTTGGAGGGGTGTTCCATTATTTTTAACAATATAGTGTATATCCCAGTGCTACCAACTAAAAGAGGAAGTTGCCTCAATATATTGGAAAGTGAAATTAGTGCAAATATACACTAAATACACACACAATATGTGTACCCATACATGTACACACATACCCAGGTATAAGAAGAGAAAAGGGGTGGTGGGGGGGAGGGTTTGCTACATTAGAGAAGCATAGTGTATAAACAGGAAGAAAAAGAAAATTGTGAAGAAAAATAATAAAAGGGCAAAGAAAGTAAAACAAGTTAACCTAAGGGTAGGAAATAAAAAAGTTTAAAAATGTGTACACGAACAGATAACAGTACCTAAAATACCAATATGAATAATAACTAAGCACAGAAGTTAGCCCATTAGATCTGTAATGTCAGTAAGAGAAAGTACTACCAAAGTCAAGTATTCACCTGATGCTGGCAGATATTGGTGATAGTAATCCAAAAAGTCTTGGTCCCAAATGGTCCACCCTCCCTTTTACTCCCTCACTTTATCACCAGAGGGAAACCAGGCCCCTCCCAGCACCATGGTGGCCCACAGTTGAAGGAGAAACAAAGCTTCGCCCGCCACATCCCACAAAGTGAGCAAAATGACGCCGGCACCACATAACACGTGACGATGCAAGACCATCCCGTGCATATGCACATAAGCTGGCATAGTGATGCCAAGCATGCATGATGTGTGCCCACATCACGCTGGTGAAAAAAAAACATGGTGCCAATACGAGATAACATGGTGACATGTGATGTGGGCATATGTGCACTGGCATATGCACATGATGGTTTCACATCTTGGTGTGTTATGCGGCACCAGAGCCATTTTGCCCACTTTGTGGGCTGTGGATGGTAGAGCTTTGATCCTTCTTCAACTGTGAGCCAACATGGTGCTGGGAGGGGTCTATTTTCCCTCTGGTGATAAATTGAGGGGGGCAAAGGGAGGGTGGACCATTTGGGACCTAAACGTTTTGGTTTACAATCACCAATATCTGCCAGCAACAGGTGAATACTTGAAATTCTCTGACATTACCCACACACTAACTTCTGTGCTTAATGATTATTCATATCGGTGTTCTAGGTATTGTTATCACCACCTCTCTTAGTGCACAAATTTGTTTTTGAATTTTTTATTTCCTGATGAGAGAGAGGCCTGTAATTGGCATCATAGGTAGACCTCAACTATGAGAGACAAAATGAGAAAAAAAATCCAGACAGACAATCACATTGGCCGATTTGGAAAGAATTTATTTGCAAATTATGGTGGAAAATAAGTATTTGGTCACCTACAAACAAGCAAGATTTCTGGTTCTCACAGACCTGTACCTTCTTCTTTAAGAGGCTCCTCTGTCCTGCACTCATTACCTGTATCAATGGCACCTGTTTGAACTTGTTATCAGTATAAAAGACACCTGTCCACAACCTCAAACAGTCACACTCCAAACTCCACTATGGTGAAGACCAAAGAGCTGTCGAAGGACACCAGAAACTAAATTGTAGACCTGCACCAGGCTGGGAAGACTGAATCTGCAATAGGCAAGCAGCTTGGTGTGAACAAATCAACTGTGGGAGCAATAATTCAACAATGGAAGACATACAAGACCACTGATAATCTCCCTCGATCTGGGGCTCCACGCAAGATCTTACCCTGGGGGTCAAAATGATCACAAGAACGGTGAGCAAAAATCCCAGGACCACACAGGGGGACCTAGTGAATGACCTGCAGAGAGCTGGGACCAACGTAACAAAGGCTACCATCAGTAACACACTACGCCGCCAGGGACTCAGATCCTGAAGTGCCAGACATGTAACCCTGCTTAAGCCAGTACATGTCCGGGCCCGTCTGAAGTTTGCTAGAGAGACTTTGGATGATCCAGAAGAGGAATGGGAGAATGTCATATGGTCAGATGAAACCAAAATAGAACTGTTTGGTAGAGACACAACTCGCCGTGTTTGGAGGAGAGAGAATGCTGAGTTGCATCCAAAGACCACCATACCTACTGTGAAGCATGGGGGTGGCAACATCATGCTTTGGGGCTGTTTCTCCGCAAAGGGACCAGGGCGACTGATCCATGTACAGGACAGAATGAATGGGGCCATGTATCGTGAGATTTTGAGTGCAAACCTCCTTCCATTAGCAAGGGCATTGAAGATGAAACGTGGCTGGGTCTTCCAACATGACAATGATCCCAAACATACCGCCCGGGCAATGAAGGAGTGGCTTCGAAAGAAGCATTTCAAGGTCCTGGAGTGGCCTAGCCAGTCTCCAGATCTCAACCCCATAGAAAACCTTTGGAGGGAGTTGAAAGTCCGTGTTGCCCAGCGACAGCCCCAAAACATCACTGCTCTAGAGGAGATCTGCATGGAGGAATGGGCCAACATACCAGCAACAGTGTGTGCCAACCTTGTGAAGACAAACAGGAAACGTTTGACCTCTGTCATTGCCAACAAAGGATATATAACAAAGTATTGAGATGAACTTTTGATATTGACCAAATACTTATTTTCCACCATAATTTGCAAATCAATTCTTTCCAAATCAGCTAATGTGATTGTCTGGATCTTTTTTCTCATTTTGTCTCTCATAGTTGAGGTCTACCTATGATGCCAATTACAGGCCTCCTTCATCTTTTTAAGTGGGAGAACTTGCACAATTGGTGACTGACTAAATACTTTTTTGCCCCACTGTGTATGTATGTATATGTATATGTATATATGTATATATATATATATGTACACAGTGGGGATCGAAAGTTTGGGCACCCCAGCTAAAAATTTGTATTAATGTGCATAAAGAAGCCAAGGAAAGATGGAAAAATCTCCAAAAGGCATCAAATTACAGATTAGACATTCTTATAATATGTCAACAAAAGTTAGATTTTATTTCCATCATTTACACTTTCAAAATAACAGAAAACAAAAAAATGGCGTCTGCAAAAGTTTGGGCACCCTGCAGACTTAATATCTTGTAATGCCCCCTTTGGCAAGTATCACAGCTTGTAAACGCTTTTTGTAGCCAGCCAAGAGTCTTTCAATTCTTGTTTGAGGTATTTTTGCCCATTCTTCCTTACAAAAGTCTTCCAGTTCTTTGAGATTTCTGGGCTGTCTGTCACGCACTGCTCTTTTAAGGTCTATCCATAGATTTTCAATTATGTTGAGGTCAGGAGATTGTGAAGGAAAAGTTTTAGTGTTTTATACATGACATGTATCAGGATGGAGGCACACCATCATAGGTATCATGCCTCATTTAAAGTCCTATAGGGAAAGGTTTTTGTTTTTTGTGTATAGCAATATGAAACGGTTCCCCATCATCCACATTCCTTTCGTAAATAAACCATGTCATATACAAAAAGAGAACATTCAATATACATGAAGTTATATAGAATAGCTAAAATTTAAAAAATGAAGCACTGATAAAAAAAAAAAATTAAATAGAAAAACTGATCACCACAGTACAACAAATTGCAAGGAACTAAACAGATTTGGCCAAATAGATTTTTCCAGGGAAAACATTTTAACTGTAAATGTGAAGCTGCCAAGAATGAACAAAGCTGCAAAACTGTGTGGTCCACAGGAATTCAGACTGGCCCGCCAAGGCATTTTTAGAGGGAAAAAAAGGAAATAAAGGATAAAAAAATCATTCCTTTTCAGCATAAAAACAACAGTATGCAAATTATGAAGCGTTAAACTTGCCTCCTTTGTTGACTTACATCTCACGTAATGTCCATGCATACTTCTCAGCATTAATACTATTGTTGATTTTATGTCCTGATTTGGGGGATAACCAAGTACTGTTTCCTCCCTGTGTTTTATTTCAGTGAAAAACTTTTAGGAGGCTAACTGAAGGAATAAAACCTGCTAGTGTCACTATACATCGAGTCCATATAGGACTTGACACATTCCAGGAGCCAGGTGGTACCTAATGTTTGAGGTTTTCTCTAGTTGTCAATAGAGCCGACTCCACAAATCCAACTGCTTCTGATTTCCATATTAATTTGCCCCTGATTTAATTTATGTAACATTATTATGAGATGCTATCAAGCAAAATAACCTGCCTACTATGCAACACTAAACTCCAGAGATCAGTCAGTTATAAGGCCATGTTTACCATGTAATCTTACAACTGAAACAACCTATTAAATACATAGCCAACTGCAGGTATTATACTGTAAGGGCTCATTTACCATATATGTAGTGAAAATAGTTAAAAATAAAATGTTTTTTAACTGCGTTTGGCGTGAGGTAAAGATGTAAAGCACATACACACTGCTGCATGGAGGAATTTGTGGATGAACCCAAGTGAAATGGCCTAGTTCTCCTACGTGGTTATCATGCAGGACACTACTGAACTTAACTGCTCAGGCATGATCAAGCCTAAGGTGTCTGCACATTCTTTTCTTTATAGTGAACACATGAAGTTTAAAATATGGGAGCAACTAATGTCAATGTTTTTATATGATGTAAAGTTCCAGGGCTGTCATTTCAGATCTTGGTTTTCATTGACCTGGCATAAGCTTGTACATCAGTCAGCTTGGAAAGATGGTTGAGGTTGGTTCTAGCAGTGCCTGCAGGTACATGTTACATTGTCTGCCCTTTGCAGCCGGACATCTGGGTGGCAATACTATCACCAAAAAAAATAAAAAATTTGAACTGAACTCAAGGCAGAGAGAAAACATTTAATGATGCTGTGTATTTCTTTAAAAATAATTAAATATAGCTTGTACATACAGCAAACATAAGCACCTGAATCTGTCTTCCTCTGCACAGCAGCACTCAAACTGGGATAAGGTGGGGAAAAACTAGATGTTAATCAGACAAGGAATATGGTGAAAGAGGGATAGGGCATAGCGAGTGGAGCTGAAAACTTAAGCCAGCCATACATGGGTCGAATTCCGAAATAATTTTCTAAGAATT